CTGTAGCAGCCTAATGATGTCATGTTAAAGCCCAATATGGTAATTACTGTCAGTCCATCTTGTTGAGGGTCTTCCTCTCCTTCACTGACCTTTCACAGAATGGTATCTCTCTCCAAGGACTGGTTCCTCCAGAAAATATGCCCCAAGTAAGAGATGTGTCACCAGCCTTACCTCTAGGGAGCAATCACTCGGGTTGCACGTCCTTCAAGACAAATTTGCTGGTTCTTTTTTTTCAGCCCATGTACTCTTTGCCACTACAATTTAAAAGCATCAAATCTACTGCCATTAATATTCACTGTCAAACATTCAGATGCGTAGGAAGCAAATGAAAAGACTTGGATCAGGTGCACCTTAGTCTTTAAACAGTCATAATGCTTTAGAGAGGTCCTTGACCTCTTCTGATTCTTGATTGCTGCTACATGAGTGTTGATTGTGGATCCAAGTGAAACTGACAACTGCACTATCATCCACTGGTCCAGGGGTGAAGTTTTTTGTTTTCTGGATGATGACATCTAACCCATACTGAGGCATTCGTAAATTCTATCATATTACACATTTACTTACTAATGTTATAATTGTTTCTTGATCCACCCCAATCCCCTAGTTCATTCATCTGTGTATTACAAGCCACTGCAATAGAGCCTGATACATAAACTGAATCAAATTCAATATGACATGTATAAAAGACTTCATGACCGGCCCGCACTTCTTCCCTGTTCACCACCATCCTTGACCTTGGCCATCATCCTACACTCAGAGAAGGCAATAACTGCCTGCTCTTCCTTCCAGGTTCTTTGTCTGGTTGCAAGATCTACTATCTAGTTCCTCGAGTTATAAATCCTCATGCTCCAGCTCTCCCTCACATCCACATCCTATCACCAAGTCCTGTCAACTTCATCTCCTAAAATCTCTCTGCACTCTCTCCTCTCATCTATGGTCCCAAGATCAATTCAGGCCTCCATCCCTTCTCAGTGTATAATTTTACAACAATTTCCTAATCAGTCTTCCTTCGCCATTGTTGGTGATAAGTACCATCGAGTCTGACCCACAGCAACCCTATGAACAATGCATCTGAACCCTGCCCTATTCTGTGCCATCCTCATCATCTCTGACACACTCAAGCCCGCCACTACAGTCACTCTGTCAATCCATCTTCTAGAAGATCTTCCCCTCCTTCGCTTTCCATCTGCCTTTTAGAACATGACATCCTTTTCCAAGGACTTGCCCCTTCTAACCACCAAAGTATGTGAGACAAAGGTTCACTATCCTGCCTCCAAGGAGCACCAAGGCTGCACCTTTTCCACGACCTATTTGTTTCCTCCAATGTTGTTATGTGCCGCACAAGTCGCTTGTGACTCACAGCGACCCTATGTACAACAGCTCCAATCTTAACATCTCTAACACACCTACCCCTACCACCCAGTCACTGAGTCAATCCATCTCATCGAGGGTTTTTCCTCTCCTGCGCTGTCCCTCCACCCTCCCAAGCATGACGTCCCTCTCCAAGGACTGGTCCCTCCTTGCCACAAGTCTAAAGTATGTCAGATGAAGCTTCAGAATCCTTGCCTCCAAGGAGCAGCCTGGCTTCACCTTTTCCAGGATGAACCTGTTTGTTCTCCTAGCAGAAGAGTATATTCAATACTCCTCTCCAGCACCACAGCTCAAGTCTCCTTCTGCCATCTCTAGTCATTGTCCAGCTCTCTGATGCATA